GGTTTTGCAGTCATTATTGCAAAATTCATGGGGAGTTATGGAAATGTTTCCGTTTGGTTCTTGAAAGAAGTGGTGCCTGTGTTTTTTATAAGTCACACTGCACCATGGGTTATGTAGCACTTGAGGTTTGAAACCTTTGTAGGGCAACTGTGTTTTTTTAGTTTCTCTGTAGAATTTCAGCATTGGATAATCTAGTTGGATAATATGGTTTTAAAGGAAACAGCATGAAAAGGCAGGAAGGTGGTTTTCGGTGAGTCAGGAAGAAATTTTGAAATAATATCTGAGTCTGCCAAAACTGTCAAAACTTGTATATATGAGAGCTGAATTCCACTATCTATGAATTATGGCAGCTGGACAATGGCTGCAGAGCAAAATTCACTCCGTGTGCATCTAGAACAAGACTTTACTACACAGCTGCCAGGAAATCAGTGTCTTGCTCCATGCTTATGGAATTTGTAAGGCGTGAAATTGCTTTTCCAGGGCGGATCCAGAGCTAATCTTCATAATATGAAACTGTTCCATTAAATGCTTTTTATTCAATTGTCTTTGTAATGTTTGTAATGTTTTTGTGCTTGCATATAGGAGCTGCAGTCTCTTAACCTAGCGGTCTCATATCTAGTTAATTAGCTAATATGCAGCATCCCTTTATAAATAAAGCTCTGGTGAGACTGATTTACTAAAATAGTCCTTGGAGCGTGGTTTGTTTCTACATTCCGAAGAAGATATTTAATAACATTAAGTTCTGAACATTTAGAAGAGTTGCGATGGTTATTTTGTTTCCATTCCTGAGTTTTAGATAGTGAGACAATTGTTGTGAATAGCTATTGAGCAGAAAGTGTTTTTGCTAAAATAGGGAGTTGAAAAGGATGGGCACTTTTGATGTCCAGTATTTATTGGCTCATTCCATATTTTGCTGGCTGTTAATGCAATAAGGCCATGCCTTGATATGCTAAAAGAGTTAGAAATGAATATGTTTACGTATTCATGTAAAAAAAGAACATATTCTTTTTTAACTCTTTTAGCATTTTGAGGCATGGACTTATTGCATTACTGTTGTTGTTGTGCTTATCAAAAGTATGTGTACATTTCCGTTTCTCTTCATATAATTATTTGAAGGCTGCTATCACACCATAAGGGACGCGGGTGGCGCTGTGGGTAAAACCTCAGCGCCTAGGGATTGCCAATCGAAAGGTCGGCGGTTCGAATCCCCGTGGCGGGGTGCGCTCCCGTTGCTCAGTCCCAGCGCCTGCCAACCTAGCAGTTCGAAAACACTCCCGGGTGCAAGTAGATAAATAGGGACCGCTTACTAGCGGGAAGGTAAACGGCGTTTCCGTGTGCGGCTGTGGCTCGCCAGAGCAGCGATGTCACGCTGGCCACGTGACCCGGAAGTGTCTCTGGACAGCGCTGGCCCCCGGCCTCTTGAGTGAGATGGGCACACAACCCTAGAGTCGGACACGACTGGCCCGTATGGGCAGGGGTACCTTTTTATCACACCATACAACAACTCTTTTCTTTTAAGCCCCCTTTTAAAAGGTGGCATAAAATGTTTATATTGTAGCGAAATTTGGCATTGTGACTGTCCAGGCATGTATTGTAACTGACCTTAAGCTGTTTCACAGCCCGATCCTGCGGATGTTTACTTGGAAATAAATCCAATGGAGATCAAAAGGACATTTCCAAGTGTGTGTTTGTGTTCTTAGGGTCCCTGGGAGGGAGTGCCAGGACAACACGATTCTTTGCGTGAAGAGAGGGAGATCCAACTTCACATGCCTCCTCTGAAAAGCTGCAGAAATATCTGCAGCAAGTGTCCCTCAAAGCTGTGACATGGTGTCCTGTTCTGCCAGAAGCGGCTTAGTCCTGCTGGCCACACGACCTGGAAAGCTGTCTGTGGACAAGCGCTGGCTCCCTCGGCCTGAAAGCGAGATGAGCGCTGCAACCCCATAGTTGGCTTTGACTGGACTTACCGTATTTTGCGCTCTCTAGGACGCACTGGACCACAAGACACACCTAGTTTTTAGAGGGGGAAATCAAGGGAAAAAATATTATTCCCCCTGCCCCCAGCCCCAAAGAGCAGCGGACAGAGTAAGGCTAAAGAGGAAGCCAAGGCAGCGAGCGGGATGGATCGCGCTTGCTGCCTTAGCTTCTTTAGCCTTGTGCAGCCTCTCCAGCTGGGGGGGGGGCTGTGCAAGGCTATGGCAATTCCCCCACCTCCCACAAAAGCCCGCAGGAACTGCACACCCTTTAAGGAGCATGCGGCTCCTGCGGGCTTTTCTACGAGGAGGGAGAAGGGACTGGCTGGCCCCGTCAGTCCCTTCTCCCTCCTGGGCAAAAGCCCGCAAGAGCCGCGCGGAGCTTGTGTGCGGCTCTTGGGGGCTTTTCCTGCCTGCCTCCCCCCTGCATTTGCTCCATAGGACGCACAGACTCCACCCTCTTAGTTTTTAAGAGGGGAAAAGTGTGTCCTATGGAGCAAAAAAATACGGTAACCATCCAGGGGTCCTTTACCTTTTTTACCTTTTAATGGAGAGGGCAAAAGAGAGGCATTCTGGGGCTCTGCTGAAGGAGACTGTGGAACTGCAGGTTCCAAAGCTCACTGATTCTGCTTAAACTGGTGTAGTTTAATTCCTTTCCATTGCAATCAGTGGGAAGGAAACTTAAAAAAATAATAGAGAACAGGAAAGAACAAAAGGGAAAATATGCTCCCCGCTGCCCAGCCCCAGCAGGAGAGAGGAAAATATGGTTCATCTCTTTTTGATTCTCCCTCCTCTCCCTCATTTGGATTGCTCTAACTCAGGCTTCCTCAACCTCAGCCCTCCAGATGTTTTTGGCCTACAACTCCCATGATCCCTAGCTGGCAGGACAAGTGGTCAGGGATGATGGGAATTGTAGTCTCAAAACCCCTGGAGGGCTGAGGTTGAGGAAGCCTGCTTTAACTCTTGTCATTAAGATTTCAGTTTTCCCTTTTTCTTTCCTTAAAAATGAAATAAATTTTCAGCCTCCTACCTTCTTGCCCCCTTTTCTGTTGTGGTTTGTCTTTTAGATTGTACTAAATGTATCTTTGAATCTTGGCTTTTATTGCATGTATTATGCTCTATACAGTGGTACTTTTAGGTTACAGACACTTCAGGTTATAGACTCCACTAACCAAGAAATAGTACCTTGGATTAAGAACTTTGCTTCAGGATGAGAAGAGAAATCACGCTGCGGCAGCAGGAGGCCCCATTAGCTAAAGTGGTACCTCAGGTTAAGAACAGTTTCAGGTTAAGAACAGACCTCCGGAATGAATTAAGTTCTTAACCTGAGGTACCACTGTATATTACAGGACATTATATGCTAGAAAATACACTTCTTATTAGGTGTCTAGCTGTTGTTTTTTGCAACAGGAAAATGCTGTTTCATACATGATGAGTGTACTTTAACAGAAATGTACAATACAGTGGTACCTCGGGTTAAGTACTTAATTCGTTCCAGTGGTCCATTCTTAACCTGAAACTGTTCTTAACCTGAAGCACCACTTTAGTTAATGGGGCCTCCTGCTGCCGCCGTGCCGCCGGAGCCCGATTTCTGTTCTTATCCTGAAGCAAAGTTCTTAACCTGAAGCACTATTTCTGGGTTGGCGGAGTGTGTAACTTTAAGCGTATTTAACCGGAAGCGTATGTAACCCGAGGTACCACTGTAAAGGTTTCCTAGTTACTTTACATGAACATAAGAGTGGGGACCAGTGTCAGGTGACCTTATGGTTCTATGGTAAGCTGGGATATTGCATTCCTTAGAGAGGTCTAATCTTAGACGTTATGTAAACTATTAAGCTAATGAATTCCTGTTATGTGCGTTCTGATTTAATTCACAAGCTTCACAAATTGTACGTTATCACAGTTAAAACGATTCAATAACAATGACTTTTCAATTAAACAAAAATGTGAAAAGTACTCCAGAGGAATAAATTGATTTAGGTGCGTGGTAAGTAATTTAATTGCTATTCATTTGAATAAATTTGACACTTCATTTCTTGTTGAGCTGAATGTTACACAGTATACTCTGTTTCGTCCACATCAATGTTTACTGCTTGTTAATAGTTCTCATAATAGTAGCATATCTATACTATATTTACTACAGTAGTACTGTGCTTTTACATAGATTGAAGCTAATCAAATGTTCGAGGGAAATTATTACTAATTATTTTGTATTAACCATTCTACGTTAATAAGTATCAGATCTCAAGACATCGTTTCACTGGAAGATAGCATAAATGCATAGTAGTTACTGGACTAATTTGAATGAAGCATATTTTAAAAACATAATAATGTTTAAGTCTCCTCATTATTGGTTAGAAATAAAAATAAAAATTAGATTGTTTGGTGAAAATAAAAATGTGACTGCAACTGTTAGGAAAATTAAATGACTCAGGTTCTAATTTTTTCTGCAATATTTTTTTTGCTATTGCTATATATGTTAAGCAAATTGGTTTTTAGCTGCCTCTGCAGTAACTTTGAGTAAATCAGGAACAATATTTCCTTTAACAATGGTGGCAATATTGAGGTGGATCCAACAAAAGTTTAGTCTCGTTATCACTTCTGCTGGATCGTGACTCGTAGCAAAAGAAATCAGGAATGTGTATTTTGATTTAATAGAAAGTGTATTTTTATAGACATATGACTATACAGTATGAACAGAAATAAATGATAGCTATATAGCACACTATAACAAAATTTGGCATTGACTATACAGCAGTATACAGAATAATCCAATAGCTTATTACTTGGAAGTAAATCTAATGGAGAGCAGTACAAAACTCCTTGTAATTGCTGCCTTTAAAAAATAATAATCAATTTTTTCAACCTAATACACCATAAAATTCAAACTAAGAAAGAAAAAAAGAAAAAGCATTTTCATATAACTAGACTGATCTGATTTCAAATATTTTTTCGAATTGTTTGTGACATGAAACTGATACCTGAAAAATCTTATTGGTAAAATTAATGTTTAATTGTATTTTTTTCTAGATTAAATTACACACACTGGGTGATTTCTCATCATGAATCGTGCTTTTAGTAGGAAGAAAGGTAAGCAGTTTGAATTGCATTTATATCAGAGCAGAAAAAGAAGGGTAGCACTGAAAAGAGACTCAGACCTCAAAAGTACATAGCAAAGTTATTATTAGAGGACACTGTCCAAGGAGTTTTAAGGAAAGTCTGTTCAAGGGTGATGTGCAATACTGTATCTAAACTAGAACTTTGAAGAAATAAGTGCCACTTCTCCCCATACCCCGAGTGAAGACTCGAAAGACATGTACATCAGAAGGTCGGCAGTTCGAATCCCCACGACAGGGTGAGCTCCCGTTTCTCGGTCCCTGCTCCTGCCAACCTAGCAGTTCGAAAGCATGCCCAAAAGTGCAAGTAGATAAATAGGTACCGCCTCGGCAGGAAGGTAAATGGCGTTTCCGTGCGCTGCTCTGGTTTGGTCAGAAGTGGCTTAGTCATGCTAGCCACATGACCCAGAAAAACTGTCTGCGGACAAACGTCGGCTCCCTCGGCCAGTAAAGCGAGATGAGTGCCGCAAACCCAGAGTCGCCTGCGACTGGACTTAACTGTCAGGGGTCCTTTAATTTTACTTAGCACTTGTGTTAATGTAGGTTTCATTGTCTACTCAGCATGGAAGATGAGCTGCCCAGCATTCAGCAAGGCAGTCCCTTAAGGTCCCAAGAGCATATGGTTAGATTACTGCAATGCGTTATACGTAGGGCTGCCCCTGAAGACGGTTCGGAAACTTCAGCCGGTGCAGAATTCAGTGGCCAGAGTGCTGGTTTTGACCTATAAAGCCTTAAGCAGCTCAGGATCGCAATAACTCAAGGACCGCCTCTTTCCATATGAACCTAGCCGGACCCTGAAATCATCTTCTGAGGCCCTCCTTCGTGTATCTAGAGGTACAGAGGGTGGCAACACGAGAACAGGCCTTCTCTGCAGTGGCTCCCTGTCTGTGAAATGCTCTCCCCAGAGAAGTTTGCCCGGCGCCTTCATTACACACCTTTAGGCGCCAGGCAAAAATGTCCTTTTTTAACCAGGCCTTTGGTTGATCTGATAGACATCCTATGCCCTTTTAAAATGTGGGGCTCTTTTTTTTGGGGGGGGGTGGCTGTTATTGGATTATTGGTTTTATTTTGATTTTATATATTGTGATCTTTTTTGTGAACCGCCCTGAGACCTCTGGGAATAATAATAATAATAATAATAATAATAATAATAATAATAATAATATATGACCAAGCACCTCTTTGAACCAGATGGCACTGTGAGGTGGCTCTTCAACTCAAGATTTCTTCAGGATGCTGCCTAATACTCAAGTACATCTCCAGCCCACTCTAAGTGCCCCCAGAAGGAGGCAGCCCAGCCTCAAGTGTGGCACAATTAAGGGCAATAAATAACCAAGATTTCACAATCCCTTTGATAAGACATTCTACTGAAAAACCTTGGACCATGTGCCCACACTCCATCTGAAGTTTGCCTTTATTTTCACTTTCTAGTCCAATTTCTTGTTTATTATTGTGGAAAAGAAAGTTAACTTTCATGAATCCAGTTCCTTAGTGTGTTGAACTCTGATCCTGGGGCTAAATCCATGAGATAAAATGAAACATCTGTTTATGTTATCGGGTCTCATGAATAGTAACAAACATACAAGTAATTGCTTTTGGACTGCTGAGTTTGTATTTCGATTTGGGGGGGGGGTCCTTTTATGCTTCATTTTCTTTTCAAAGATTGTAAAATGTTTGAGCAATGAGGAAGCATTAGAGTATTTCTGAAAATTTCTTCTTCCGTGTTGTGTAAATCTATAAAGCAGTGGCATTCATTGTGCCTTGTACATACAGCCCATATGGCAAATGCATCTGCTATAGACTAAAAAAATGACCTCCTACCTGCTCTGCCTTTAGAGTGCTGCATCAGATTTGGCCAAAGTACTAAGACAAAGGCAAAAAATAAAATAAAAATGCTTCTGTTTTTGAAGTATCAGATTACACTCTTCTACCATAACACTAAACTACGGTGTACTATTATGTGAACGAAACGGAGGCTCAGGCACTAACACAATCCCTCTCCTCCTCTTGTTGCAACAAAAAGGGAAGCATTCTCTTCATTTCCAAACTTACTGTTGCTTGTGATTATACCCACCAGGGTAACGGTGATTTCTCCAAATAAGCCAACTTCAAATCCCGGTTTACAATCCTTCCATGTTCAGGTAAATCTCAGTTAAAGCTAACCACATAATAAGAATAAAGCGAAAGCGAACCATCATAAAGCTAACCACCGTTTGTTGGAAACAGAAACAAATGCTCCCGATATCCTTGCAGCTACACCAAAGGAGGAGAGGGAAGTGGGAGGGGGAGGGGGACAGGAATGTGCAGTTAATGCTAACCTGTATTCTTAGATCCAAATCCAAATCAGTGCCCTCATCTGAAAATATAAAATCCAGCTGTTATCCAAACATGTCTCCATCCTTACACAAGACACACAGGTTCCTTTGTTGGTCTAAGTGCAGACTCTGTGGCCAAATGTAGACCTTTTGAACTTGAATCCTGCCAAGATGGAAGCATTGTGTGAGACTGGTTCCTACGTGTGAGAAACTGGCCTGCTCTGGTCAGGGTGGCACCCGCTTCTCAAAGGAGCAAGTCTGTGGGTGCTTTTGGGTCCAGCTTTCTCACTGAAGGCTCAGGTGGCCTCCATAGCTGTTGTTGTTGTTGTTGTTGCTTAGTCGTGTCCGACTCTTCATGACCCCATGGACCAGAGCACACCATGCACTCCTGTCTTCCACTGCTTCCCGCAGTTTGGTCAAACTCATGCTGGTAGCTTCGAGAACACTGTCCAACCATCTCATCCTCTGTTGTCCCCTTCTCCTTGTGCCCTCCATCTTTCCCAACATCAGGGTCTTTCCCAGGGAGTCTTCTCTTCTCATGAGGTGGCCAAAGTATTGGAGCCTCAGTTTCAGGATCTGTCCTTCCAGTGAGCACTCAGGGCATTTCCTTCAGAATGGATAGGTTTGCTCTTTTTCATGGATCACTGCCTTGCCGTGGCGAAGGGGCTTGAATAACTCCGAGAAGCTATGAGCTATGCCGTGCAGGGCCTCCATAGCTAGACACCCCTTTTACAGATGTTCCTGGACCTAGAGAACCACACCATGGTAGTTCTGGCTCTTGTGACTAAAAATTGTTTAAAAATGAGAAGAAAGGTTTTAAGGCAAAAAAGAAAGAAAAAAAGAAAGAAAAGAGGAGATATTTTCACATATTTAGCATATTTAATTTTGTCTTGTTTGTATTTTTGCCATCAAGATGAATGACACTAAATGAGGATTAGAAAACTTAATACAGGGTGAGTTTCTTGGTCCTGAATGGTAATGACAGCTAGGAATGCAACCTCCCCATTCAATACCAGATGCCAGGGGATGATCTAACTGGCTTATGGTTACTTGTGCTTAGGCTTTGCTTTGGCTATGGATGAGGATTTAAACAGCGTGTTGAAATTCTGTTGAGTCCTGGGTGATTTATCAACAGTCAAATCAGCCACAAATTAATCACATGTTGTCCTGTATTCTAGCGTGCTCTCCTTGATTATAAAGATAGCAGTGGTAGCCATGATCATATAAAGGGCAAAGTTCAGTGTTGAGACAGCTGTCCAAAAAAGGAGAGCTAGATTGCTTAACATTAGAAGGGAGGCGATGCTCATTTTATGAAGGCAGTAATTGCTTACAGGTGACTAGATCTTGTAACATGGAAGATATTCACAGTGACATTAAATTATAAAGGTTTGAGGTATTGGCCTATTACAGATAGCGCAGTACTGAGAAATTGCAGTCGTATGCAAACCTGAGCCACACAGAACTCAACAGCAAGTTCTAAATGTAATCTCCTGAAGTTATTGCCTATTAAACATTATGGGTTGTGAATAGGTGTGCATCTCCAGACATCCAAGTTAGACCATGATGATTTATTTATTTTTTATGACAAGCATTTATGAAAATAGAGAAAGTAAAAAGTTTAATGCTCTGGATGGCATAAGAAAGAAAGTTATAGACATCAGTTGCTTTTGAATGGGCTGGTAATGAAATTGCCAATTTCTAAACATACAGACTGTGTAAAGTGTGGCACATCTTCCTTTTTTAGGGTATGATGGCCACAAGTAAGGCAATGGAAGGCAAGAGAGAGAATAAATGGAAGCACTCATTTATTGCCTTTAGGTTGTGAATTATGCCATTGGACTTCCAACGCGGTGTCAGTAGTTCTCATCAGAATTTTGAGAACCAGAACTTTAATGTTTAGTTAGAAACCGTTTCTAGCCTTCCCCTTCGACTCCACTGGTTGACATGTTCTGGGATTCGCAATCAAAGGTATAATCATCTTTCTGGCTTTTTAGTTAGATAAGTGAAGGCCTTTGGAGGATATGGATAGGCTCTCACTACTTAAGCTAAATTTACGTAATTGCAAGATTGGTAAGCACCAGCCCAAGTGTTGCATCGTCTATATAATTTTCCATTTTATTTATCCATAATATATATGGAGGATTTATGGAATCCTCGTGTCGTATATTGGCACAACATACTTTAGAGGAAGTGTACAAAGTACTCAGCCTCCACTTTCATGAACAGCATAATCACCCCCCTTTCATGTCATTCTTAGGCTTGACAGATACACATTCTGAATATTATTGAGAGCACGGGAACATCCTACACTTCTAGGGCAGAATATGTTTTCAGGCCATTTGGATGGTTTGGTTCCAGTTATTTGTGTTTGCATATCTGGTGTCACTCATTGATTATAAAACTGTATAAGAATATGAGTTATTGCTTTGCCCCTTTCTCAAGGGGAACATTGCATCTTGGGTCCAACACAAGGCCCTGTCCCTTAACAGTCATTGGATAACTTTTAAATTGAAGTGTAGCACCATAACTGTCATAAGACCTGAGCTTCCTAAGTGAATAGATCAGGCATAAGCAAACTCAGCCCTCCAGATGTTTTGGGACCACAAATCCCATCATTCCTAGGTAACAGGACCAGTGGTCAGGGATGATGGGAGTTGTA